CTCCAGGGCGAGGCTCCTCCATTGCACCACGGTCGAGCTGACCCTTGCGAATATCCCTAATGTGGATATCTCGGGCGTATAATTTTTGATAGTCGGGACTGCGTTCGCGCTATCCCGGACAATAAACTAACCATAGACTCCCTGAATAGTTATTTTTAGAAGCTCAGAACTCGTACGAAATCTAGAAATATTTGACTGAATTTTCTAATTACAACTTCTCTACACTGTTTTCTTATTTGTAAAGGGGGCTTCATAATCGTTTTGTTTACAGAAAAAGTAAGTTCTCACAATTTCTTACTAAATTCCCACCATAGATTTTAATGTATCCGAAGTCAACTTAGAATGAAAGTAGCATCTAAAATAATTTTACATGTTTCAACATTTAACTGCGAAAAGCGGTTAGAAGCGCCTTCGTAGAATTAGATCTAGGCCTCGCAAGGGGTATACTCGAATGTACCACATGAATCGATCGCATGACTAGTGTGCATTGTCTATATGGAATGATCGAACTTAGACTAAACATAGACGTCAAAGAATTAACATTGAAAAAAATTCGCGTACGGATACTGAGAAAAAAAGATTCATTGAACAAAATGAATATTTCTTGAAATAGTACGAAAGAAATATTTTGTTAATTCAAAGAACAACTATTTTACTTGAATAAATCGGGTGCAACGTTTCCTCAGAATGACGACAATTTATTTCAACTAAATGAATTTTTTTCTCGGTGTAAGAACGTGATCCGAGAATGAAATGCTGAGTTACACTCTCCATTGAGATAATTAAGTAAAAATAACAAATGCTTATCCGAATAGTGCTCATCTTACAAGCGTTCAACCCTGAAACATAATTTCTAACTTTTATATCAAGTACACCGAAATAATAGTTTATTTCTGAAAATGGAGTTGACAAAAGTGGACGGAATCGAACATAATTCTAAGTTTAGCTCCCATTACAAAGTCACTCGGGGATTCGACATACTTATGAACTATTTCTTGAACAGTATTTCTACAATTGAAGTAGACAGAAATATGTTCAAATTCAAAAATACTAAAGGTAAGTATGTTTATATATATTATCCGGGATAGCGCGAACGCAGTCCCGACTAACAAAAATTATACGCCCGAGATATCCACATTAGGGATATTCGCAAGGGTCAGCTCGACCGTGGTGCAATGGAGGAGCCTCGCCCTGGAGGAACCGCCTTCATGATCACGGTAACCTCTGCGCCAGGTAAGTATGCTTTCCGCCGTGACTCGCTGATACTTAAAGCCTCCAGCTGGCGCCTCGCTTGCGGGAAACCCTGCGCCCTGCGCACCCTGGCGAAAGCGATGCCAGTTAAGAAAGCCAATAGACCGTTCCACCCCAAATAGCAAAACCAAAATCCATTCACAGACCGCCGAGCAACATTGTTTTCGAACTTGGTAAATCATCTTAACTCTTTGTTCAACCCTTTCAGAACAAGGTGCTTGAATAACTCCACATCAAAAAAGGAAATATCACTATTTAATCAAATTTGTACACTTTTGTTATCTTCTACCTTCACCTCGATATTTTCTAACAGATTAATCACCATTGGATTTACTTTCTACATGAGTTGAATGTTCAATTTTGCAACTCAGTCAAAATATCGAACCAAGTTCTAAATAACGTTTGTAAAGTACAAGAACTGTAGTTGATATGTAACCGATGACACTGGCACGTCAATTTTATACAGCGATATTATATACTTGCTCTTTTTAATGTGTCATGAAAAAGTCATTCTATGTACATCAAAACGTCGAAATATTTATTAAACCTTTCTCCAAACTGGGTGTAATATTCGATATTATCAACTATTACTAGTGAAAGAATTTTGCCACATGAAAAAAAAAATATTGGTTGTCCTATAATGACCATGTAATATGACTGAATGAACAAAAATTTTATTGACACAACCAAATATATTTTTACGTGTATTTATTCAAACACTACGTGTATAATGTAACGGTATTTTCATTTTGAATATTCGCGCAATCGCCTGTAACCGATTTGTGAGGCCTCTACAGGGTTGCCGCGTAGTCTCTCTGGTGCGACAACTTCGGAGGGATCGGAAGGCCCGCGCTCGCTCTGTCGACCCGCAACCTTCGTCCAGGACGCATCACGAAGGACTTCACGATCCAAGGATCCAAAATTTGAGCAACAATTGGGTGACGTTTGTTACCGCTCATCGACGGAGCAGCCTTCCATCGATCGCCTGCACCGACTACATCGAATACTCTGAATTGAGACCAGTCGAATCTATCGATCTATATTCCACCATATTGCGATTTAAATCATTAGGATTTATGTAGAGCATTTTATATCGCTATAGCCCGATTTCATTCTTTCATTGCGACCCTACCGCGCGTATTAGTTTAATTTGTCGCGCCATAATCTAATTTCGATTTCTTAAGAGACATGTGAAATATAAAGGTTACTATTTGTTACCACATTAAGACAAAAGAACGTTATAATAGCAATATAACCGATGTAAATTGTCGGTTGGAAAAGTATTTTAGAAACTGAATGCCTTATCTTGCAGGTACGACACGTTTGGTCGATTTAGCGCTAAATGTCTTCGGCAAAACGTTCCAGGCCAAACTCCGAGAGACACGATTCGTCAAGGCAAAGTTTATCCGTTTGCCAGCGACTAGTTGCCAAGGTTTTGAAACAAGTAACGTTTGCGAGGAGGATTCACGCCGCATTGTGGTTTCCCACGTACCACCTTGTCGGGGTCGGTCAAATTAACCTTCTCCCTCTCTGTCGCACCCCTCCCCCTTTGTCTCTTAGCCTAGCTTTTCAACTCTCCCAGGATATTTTGTCGAGTTTACAGTCGCTTTATTGACACGCCTTCCTGCACCCCGAGCTTTCCCGCCCCTGTTTCAGAAGCACCGGTTTCGGGATGTTAAGCTCCAGAACGGAGCTGGACACGATTAATTACTGTACGACATTCGCGGCGAGCTTACAAGCTTTAAGTAATAGAACAGTTTACGTGAAACGAAATGGAGACATTTTTTCTTTCGCTTTTGCACTCTGTAAACCGACATCCGCGTAAAAAGCTGACTAACACTGTCGAGAAATTGCTATTTTTAATAATCTGTCTTTATTAAACGACCCTCACGGGGAGCTTACAAGTTTTAAGCAGTGGAAAACTGTATGTAAATTGAAATAGAGAGAAAATTATTTCTTTGACAGTTGCACTTTATAAATAGAGTTAGGTGACGAGGACTGTCCAACAAAGTGGGGCAGTTGCAATTCTTAGTATTCCGTTGTTATGGTGCTTTGAAATTATTAATCTGCGGCATGGAAATATTGAGACGTAACATTTTAGGAGGGCTTAAAAATAACCCACACAAATAAATAGGTATAGGAAGGAAAATTCTGAAACCACCTTTCCCACATCTTTTTCATCTCCGATTTTTATCTCAGCATGCAAAGACATCTCTTTGACGTACGGATTTCCTTTTCGAGGCTTTCGCAAATCTTCTTACTGTCATTTAAAGGAATATTCAAAGAGCCGAACGTCGTAACTAAGTGGTATTACATTTACGGTTTCAGTCCCGTGTCCAATTTGGAAAGACCTTTGCTTCCTGATATTATACCAGTATATGTTTTTCAAACCAGCAAAATCTGACTGAAAAACATCCCTTCACCCGTCTTCTGCAAACATTGAAGAATTTTTGTTTTGTAATGCTCATATATGCTAACATATACTATATTTCGAACCGATATTATTAACAGGGTAGATTTACGATGCAATTAGGTTTTCTTATCATATTGACGCGTACTCAAGGCACTGACAATAAAACGGCATTAAATTTACAGAATGATTTCGTGTCGAATTTAGGGCGTGCACCACAAATGTTGTATGCCTATAAATTCCCAAAGATTTGATCGAGTACACAAAAGATTTCAAAATTTAATATACTTATTCTCTGAAACTCGTATATCCGTAAAATCTCGAATACAACTGTACCAAAAATACAGAAATATTGTATTGCGTTGACAACTAAACGATTGCGGATTTTGTCGATGATGATATTAAAAAATCCACATTCACTTAGTTGCCAACCCAATATTTTCAAAAAATTTCGCTTACATGTATACTATATTTCCAACCAATATTTCTAACAGGGTAGATTTACGATGCAATTAGGTTTTCTTATCATATTGAAGTGTGTTCAAGGTACTGACAATAAAACGGCATTAAATTTACAGGACGGTTTGGTGTCGAATTTAGGGCATGCGCCACAAATGTTGTGCCGCCGTTAGAGCGGCGCCAAACCTTGCCGCGGTTTAGTACGTCCACGTCGGTGCGATCGCTCGGAGGAGCCTCCGGTGCATCTCGCGACGACCTCCAACATTCGCGAATTTAAAATCCCCCGACTTCCGAAAAATCGCGCCCAACCCCACCAAGCCACCCTACATCTCCCAAGATCTCAATAACCCAGGGATAGAAATACAGAAAATTCCCGACTCCGAGAAAACGAAAGATAGGGAAATATCTGCCCGATAATACAAGATATTACATAATTAATGGTGGCCCGTAATCAAGATTAAGGTAAACTTCAAAAGCAGTAAAACACGCTAAACCGTTACCCAAAGATTAATCCACAGTATTTTGGTTTTAGTCCCGTGTAGTGAGTGACGCTTTTACACATCATGGGAGATTTGTAGAACGTATCGATATCATGGTACAGAGTCGAGTGGGATATATGAAATAAATATGCTGAACATTTGACGCTTCCTGCGTCGAAATTTCCCCTTGGATTTCATAATAGAGGGCTCGGTTTTCGTCGGTCGTGCAGGTTTACAGGGATTTCTGGGGGAAGGAAGTGTCAAAAGGGAATCCTCGAGGTCACGTCTTCGGGCGAAGAGATGACGCCGCCGGCTTACTTCCGGATGACGTGCGACATGATGCAGACTCTGCCGGAAGCTGCGACGGGTACATTGCGCCGACACAGCTCGTGAAAGCTCCTCGAGGGACAGAAAGGGAAGCAGGAGAGACAGGAGGGACCAGTGGAATCGAGAAAGAAGCGAAATCGACGGATCATGTGGGATGTTATCAAGGCTCTTATCATGATGGCGGCTTGGCTGGTCGGGCCCACTTCCGCTGGCAGCTGTCGCGCTGCCAAGCTCTGCTGTCAAGGCAGGGACTCTGGATGTGTCATCCAGAAGGCTTCTCCGAATGCCATTATCGAGGGCCCCAAAGATAAACCTTGTTACTGCGATCACGCCTGTCTTAAGCTCGGCGACTGCTGCGACGACTTCCGGCAGACTTGCGGAGGTACTTGCGGAGATCTCTCTGCACGCATTAAAAAATTGGTTTATTTAATAAAATTGGTCGATTGACTGCAATTGGATCATTTCAGAGAAGGTTTTGCTTGAGCGAACCGATTTAGTTCACTTGACCAAATTTGTTTGTTTCAATCAAGTAATGTGCTTGGGTCGTATTGTTTTCTTAATTTTATTTAATATATTTGTCAATTAAGTTCCCAGCGTATCCGCTTGGTGGCGAGTGGCCGTGGAGCCTCTCTCACAAATGAATTTGTTCTGCGGTGAAGATCTTTCTGCACGCATAAAAAATTGGTTCATTTAACAAAATCAGTTGATTGACTGCATTTGGATCATTTCAGAGAACGTTGTGGTTCACTTGGCCAAATTCATTTGTTTCGATCAAGTAAAGTGTTTGGGTCATACTGTTTTGTTCATTTTATTTAATATCTTAATCGATTAACAATAAGATATTAAATAAAATTAAGAAAACAATATTAAGTTCCCTGCGTATCCGCTTGGTGGCGAGTGGCCATGGAGCCTCTCTCACAAGTGAAGTTGGGATCTTTTGTTGATACGTTGCCCATGGTAACACTTTTTTACACGAAACCAAGTTTCTTTTTTACCCTGATTATTTTTAAAAAAGAAACATTTTTCTTGAAAAATATGCAGGAAGAGTAAAAATGGTTTTGAATGTACCAAAATCACTTTAATATTTTATGTGATCAACCAAACGTTATTAGCAAAAGAATTTAGTTACGTCAATCAAATATTTGGTTGTCCGTATAAAAACCATATTCTATGGCTGTAACAACATGAATTTTTATTATTCAACCAAATATTTTTTTACGTGTACGATTGAGGTGGTCTCTTTTGGAGAACGCCGATCCTGGAAATACGGAGTAATAAAAACGCAAAAAGTGGCTCGAAAGATGAATTTTTTCCAGTTTTCACAGGGCATGTGCAGTAACTGAAGTAAACATGGTTTTCATTGGAAACCAAGTTCCCTCGCGCTCTTTGAGATTTTCGATTTTTTAAGTATTCATAAGAGAGGAAAAACGCGACTGTGACATGACGAGTGGCCCTTGAAGTTGAACCGTGATACATTTCCTTCTTTTTGAATTTGCCGCGTGAAATTATATAGGAAGTCGAAGGAAAATACTCGATTTTGAACCGAGGTGTACGAGTCAAGTTTTTAATTTTGCCTTGAAGAGATGTTTGAGTTTCGCTTTTAATTGGGTAAAAAAAAATTCCTATACGAACGTTCGAATGTTTTAAGGTAAAGCGTTGTACGGTAATTTTTCCTCTACACTGTATAGGGGAATTACAAATAAGGAATTTGCTCTACACACATTTTTGCTTCATATGGAGTTCATTTTCTCTTTTTTATTCCATTTTGGACTCGGGTGGAAACGCGATCCAAATTCACGCGCCGGAATTCTGAGTTGCGCCGTTCGAGTTGTCCACTCGAAACTTTCCCACGAAATAACGAAAAAAAAAAAAAGATTATTTACAGTGTATCGGGCGAAGTAGAGCGTAAAAGAGTACCTACGAAATTGCAAAACATGACCATGGGTATGTATAAATATCCAACCTGCAGTGTTGCGGAATGTAACACGTGCAGCACATTGCACATTTTTGATGCCTTGCGCTCGGCGAAACAAGCAAGCCGCAATATGAGAACAACGGAGAAGTACAATGTAAATTGAAAATTTTAAAACAAATAATTTACTCATTTTAAGATCAACGATATAAATGTAGAAAATAAATACATTTTAATATAACCCAAACCCATATTTATAGCATACAATTCATGAACCAAGATCGTCGAAAAACAAACGCAATGATCAAACTGAAAATTCAAAATGCACTTAATGTAAAACACAGGGCAGTACTGTTTACATCACGATGTTAAAATTGTTTTACCGGTACTGGAGTGTATCCAGGCCTCAATAATTAATAACGATCGATTAGCGACGTGGCGTTTCGGAGAGCCGTGAAAAAAAGAATATTCGAAACAAATTTCATACGCCCGAATTACCATAAATAAAGTAGTACTTTGACGAGTTCTTTTACCGTGTATAAAGTTGCACTTTGACAAGTTCTCGAGCTATGAGTAAAAACTCATCGGGTCAATCCGAGGAAGATAGACGTCAATAATTAATAACGATCGATTAGCGACGTGGAGTTTCAAAGAGCCATGAAAAAAAATAATATTCGAAACAAATTTCATGCGAACGATTTACCGTAAATAAAGTATCACTTTGACGAGTTCTTTCTCCGTATATAAAGTTACACTTTGACAAGTTCTTGAGCTATGAGTAAAAACTCATCGTATCAATCCGAGGATGATAGACGTCAATAATTAATAACGATCGATTAGCGACGTGGAGTTTCAAAGAGCCATGAAAAAAATAATATTCGAAACAAATTTCATGCGAACGATTTACCGTAAATAGAGTAGCACTTTGACGAGTTCTTTTTCCGTATATTAAGTTGCACTTTGACAAGTTCTCGAGCTATGAGTAAAAACTCATCGTATCAATCCGAGGAAGATAGACGTCAATAATTAATAACGATCGATTAGCGACGTAGCGTTTCAGAGAGCCGTAAAAAAAGTAATTTCCAAACAAATTTTATGCGAACGATTTACCGTAAATAAAGTAGCACTTTAACGAGTTCTCTTTCCGTATATAAAGTTGCACTTTGACAAGTTCTCGAGCTATGAGTAAAAACTCATCGGGTCAATCCGAAGAAGATAGACGTCAATAATTAATAACGATCGATTAGCGACGTGGAGTTTCAAAGAGCCATGAAAAAAAATAATATTCGAAACAAATTTCATGCGAACGATTTACCGTAAATAAAGTAGCACTTTGACGAGTTCTTTCTCCGTATATAAAGTTACACTTTGACAAGTTCTTGAGCTTTTACTTATCGAGTCAATCCGCGGAACATAGACGTCAATAATTAATAACGATCGATTAGCGACGTGGTGTTTCTAAGAGCCCTGAAAAAAATAATATTCCAAACAAATTTCATGCGAACGATTTACCGTAAATAAAGTAGCACTTTGACGAGTTCTTTTACCGTATAAAAAGTTGCACTTGGACAAGTTCTCGAGCTATGAGTAAAAACTCATCGGGTCAATCCGCGGAAGATAGACATCAATAATTAATAACGATCGAGTAGCGACGTGGAGTTTCAGAGAGCCGTGAAAAAAAGAATTTTCCAAACAAATTTCATGCGAACGATTTACCGTAAATAAAGTAGCACTTTGACGAGTTCTTTTACCGTATAAAAAGTTGCACTTTGACAAGTTCTCGAGCTTTTACTCATCGAGTTAATCCGCGGAAGATAGACGTCAATAGTTAATAACGATCGATTAGCGACGTGGTGCTTCAGAGAGCCGTGAAAAAAAGAATTTTCCAAACAAATTTCATGCGAACGATTTACCGTAAATAAAGTAGCACTTTGACGAGTTCTTTTTCAGTATATAAAGTTGCATTTTGACAAGTTCTTGAGCTTTTACTTATCGAGTCAATCCGCGGAACATAGACGTCAATAATTAATAACGATCGAGTAGCGACGTGGAGTTTCAGAGAGCCGTGAAAAAAAGAATTTTTCAAACAAATTTCATGCGAACGATTTACCGTAAATAAAGTAGCACTTTGACGAGTTCTTTTTCCGTATAAAAAGTTGCACTTTGACAAGTTCTCGAGCTTTTACTCATCGAGTCAATCCGCGGAAGGTTTCTTCGCGCCCGGAAAGGCGAGGGGAACTTTTAAAGGATTCTTCCTTTTCGAGATCGAACTCGCTCGGGAGTCTTATCGATCAGGGAAAGTTCTCACCTGAGGGAAGTTAATCCCGAATGGAAGGAGAAGGGAAGACAGAGAGTAGGACGACTCCTTTTTCGCACTCGGCGACGCCAGGATTGGCCGTTCGGGCGTGAACTTCCCCGAAAGAGCGCAAAGGACCTCCAAAGGACCTACCTACGGAAGCCTGCCTTCTCCAGAATTATTCCAGACGAAGGGAATTCTTACGGCGGGTTGAGCCAGACGTGGAAAAGTTCAGTTTATTTATGGCTCTCCTTCGAGGAAAAGGTGGATCACCGCCGACCGGAGAAATAAAGCGCGCAAGGATCAGCGCCGGAGTATCTCGAGGATACAAAGCTCTCCTGGAAAATGCCCGATCCAGGACTTGCTCAAAATATTCCGCAGGACTCGTCCAAAGCCGTTTTCACGTCGCCCCGAGACCGGTCGACATAAATTTTCTAGTAGGATATACTTGCGGGGTTTCGCATCTTTGCATTCCGGATTTCCTCCTGCAGAGAATTTCATTATCTTCTTCGGAATCCTTGATCTCGAATTACTCGCCAAGTAACTCAAGAGGAAAAGTACAAGGAGTTTATTTGCCTCCAGTCTAGGGGGATGAAAAATGTCTTATTCGAAAATGTTGCAAAATTGTTAAATTTAAAGACGTAGAAAAATATCTGCCTTGGACGTTTTCTGTAAGAAATTTAAAGGATCCATGTAAAGACTTTTCTTGTAGAATCCTTCAGATTGTTGAAAATAAATTCTTCAATTTTCCTCGGTATGAAGGTTTCCGAGTGGCCGAATTTTCTGGCGGATCATTAGTGAATGCAGTATCGATGACGTTTTAATAACTCAATGACCCTCGGCGGACTTTGTCACAAAGTAAACCCTTCATGAATTCCGAATAGGAGACTGCAATTAGCTTAATATCAGTGCGCTTTCCCGAATGAGAAAATTCCCGATCCGACTTTTGGAAAATATTTTCCACGGGGAACATTTAAAATTGTACCGCCATTGTTTCAAATTCGTTATGCACATTTTCGAGTTAATTGTCTGGAATATTTTTCGCATTCCTCCGGGCAGCATAATATGACAAATGCGCCTTTTCGAGTTCATTAATTAATTATTATGTAAATTCTCCTGCAAACAATAGCCAATCCAGGTGTTTTTGAACAAATAACAGCAACGTTAAAATTTC